ACTGCCGGACCGCCGCCTGTCGCCTGCCGCTGGCCGCCTGCCGCCGGAGCTCCGGCGACCGCCGCCGGAAACCGCCTCTTCCGCTGCCACCAAGCTGCCGCCACCTCCGGACTGCCCCGGTACCAACGGACTGCCTTGGTTGTGCAAGAGAACTAGGGGGGACAATTATTTAGATCAATTAATTAATTAAATTGAATTAAGGGTAAAAAAGGTAAGATTAGTGCTATTTAGAGAAAAACATGCATGTGGTCCTATTTTGAGAAAAAGGTTGAGTTTTAGTCCTATGTTGGACAATTTTCTCAAAAAGAAAAACGCATTCCATCGCCGAACTCGAACACTGTGCCTGCCTTCTTCCAAGCTTCTGCTTTCTCTTCTTCAGCGAGAAGCCTACGACAATTCGATTGCCAACGAGAACACCTTTCCCTTACCTATTCACCTGCACAAAAAATTTATCGATCGCTGTAGAAGACTACTTTCCGAAGGTAAATTGGTTTGCAGACCACATCAGTTCATCAAAATAGCCTTTTCAAAATCAGGCTGAAGAGAGAACTTCTAAGAAAATAGGTTAGAGAGAAAATTTCTTTGATGGAAGATAGCTTCTTCTTCCCTAAAGGGAAAATCCTCTTCCCTAAAACTTTTCCGCTTCTCTCTCCTAGCCCATTTACATCCTTTATTATTCTTTCATTTAGACAGCCCGTTTTCTTTAGATGATTGCTCAATGGAAGCAATAAAAACCATTCACTCCCTTCAACTCACCCCAATTCTCGGCCTATAGATTCCCGTTTCATATCCAGCTATTAAATCATTCCATCCTTACGTTTCTTTCACATTCCAGAGTAGAGGAAAGTTAAGGGGACGGAGGGAGTATTTATTTAAAATACACATGAATTTTGTCATGCATTTATGATGCAAATGTGCTACCATGAATGTGTTGTATCAGGACATTTTAGATGAACAATAGGCTAATCAAAATATCTATATAGAAAGACTATGTTGGGTATCTTGCTTTGGTTGGGATCAAAGTTGACTAAAATGCTCCAGGTTGCACTGGGTCTTGAAACTATATTTGTTTTTTTAAGGATATAAATAAATTAATAAGATATCCTATATAACTATTTGGCATGTATGAATTACACATGAATTGTGTGAAATAGTTTTTTATTCTCTCCAAGCCGGTTAATATAATGTCTTATTTTAAAAGCATAGTTTTGAGTTTTTTATTCTGTTTTAGGATTCTCCGTTTTTAGTAAATATGTGTTCCGTAATGTGAAGAACACTTCTTAAGAGTGTTCCTTTTTTTAGTTTTATCTTAAGAACCCTACTATGGATTTACTCTCACTTTTTTATTAGGGAAAAGGTGCAAATAGGCCCATGTACTAACCAAAAAAGGTCAAATAAGCCCTTATTTAGGAGTCTCTGTCCAGCCGTCGCCATTTGGGTTGGTTCCCGGTGGATTTTTTTGATGAAATTGTTTGAGAATCTTATCCATTAAGTCTAGTTTACTCATACCAAATTTCAGCTAAAACTTCAATCAGGAAGACATTGAAATGAATTCTTGAAAATAACTGCACAGTTAGAAGCGCAGTTATCTTCAAGAATTCATTTGAATACCTTCCCGATTGACGTTTTAGCTGAAATTAAATATGAGTAAACTAGACTTGATGAATAAGATGCTCAAAAAATTTCATCAAAAAATTCCACCGAGAACCACCCCAAATGACGACGGCCGGACTGAACATCCTAAATAAGGGCTTATTTGACCTTTTTTGGTTAGTACATGGGCCTATTTGCACCTTTTCCCTTTTTATTATTATCAAAATTTTCAATTTGGTTTGATAACCAACGGATCCTTCATTTTAACGCCTATTTTGGGGATACAAAAAGATAAATTAGAAGATTTTGTTTCATTTTCTAAAACACTTCAATAATGATCACAATCAGTGGAGTATCCACTCTAGGGGCAGCTGCCCCCTCTCAAACCCAGTCCACCCCTATATATTCTATTTTTTTTAGAAACTGCTCAAAATAGAAGTAAAACATAGGAAAAATTTTAAAATAGGATTAACAATGTTTTCTTCTATAAATACATTATTTTTGTAATCCTATCAAAAAAATAAAAGGATAAAAATATACTAAATTTTGTTATGTTTAACTTTTACTGCCTCCGTCGCTAATGACTTTGTCAAGTTTGACCGGCACGGGGATTACTAAAGTAAAAACTGTGTGGTTGAGGTTTGTGCGGAGGAGAGAGAATTAACTGGAACCACAAATTATTTACTTAAAAGGGAAAGTGGCAAAGTTAATTAATGGGAAATCCAAAAAAGGAAAGTTGACAAAGTTATAAGGGACGGATGGAGTATTTAGGTATTTTTCTCAAATTTTATCGACAAATTCATCTTTGCACACACATATTTTAAATTGATCTTCTTTTTATGCATATTTGTACATTTATAACTTAAACTAAATCTAATCAATCAATATTAATAATGTGATGTGTTATTTATGAATTACCCCTTCGTCCCACTATAATTGTCTCATTTTTGTTTTTTTGTTTGTCTCACAAATTTTGTCTCATACCATATTTGGTAATATGTGTGTGACTCTAATTTACTTACTTTATTCTCACCTTTTCAATTCATTATTAATCACATAGATCTATTTTTCTCTTAAAACAGTATCAGTTTCATTTCTCTCAATCTTAGGGGGCCAAGTTATTATGTGATTAAGTTGTAATGCAAGTTCGCCCTCACTGAGGAATATTTATGGAAACGCCACTAATCACAATGTATGTATTTGAGAAGGGATTTATATACACTCAATCACACACGAAGCATATTAACCAAACAATCCAATACTTGAAAAAGAAATTTAAGTTGGATTAATAAAAGATTCAGAGATCAGAGATTGAAACGAACTTTGATTGAGTTTATAACTTCTATTAAAAACTTTGTCACATCGAGTGTATCCGGGAAGTATTAAGTTGGCCGAAAGACCAGGCGTGGGATTTTGTGGAGATCGAGTTAGATTCATTAATGGTGTCAGAAGTTCAAGCAGGAGCAAGTCTGTCAACGCGTGAACTGTTGGCTGAAGATATCAGGGAAGTCAGCTCAGGGTTCAATAATATTTCCTTTTATTTTATTAGACGGTCAACGAATAGAGTTGATCGTGTGTTAGTTAAAGTAGCATGTTCTATGTCTGATAGTCAGATTTGGGTGAGTTCACCCCCGAACTATATTATGGATGCTTTGTCATTTGATTTGATTAATGTTAATTCAGATGGTTATTTCCAAAAAGAAAAAGTTATGAAACTACTCGCATATACTTCATGGATATGTATCCTAACTTAGAACAATATAAACTGGTAAATATACAAACATGCCACATGTATGGTATTATTTTCATAAGTTACTATCCATGAAATATTTGGACGTTTTCTTCAGACGTCCTGTTTTTTGCTATGCACAGATGTATGTTCCAATTTCGAAAGTCACAAGTTTGTTTGACTTGAAGGCTGTGATATGGGATGATGAATGATTTCTAATAAAATAGTGAAACACGGTGGTCCACAAATTCAATAATTTGTATACATTATTAATATGCTTCTAATATTTATTTTTATTTATTTATAATTTTCTAATTTTTATGATAGAAAAAAAATATGGTTTACAATCACGTTTATTGACCTCCAGCTGCTCCTGACGAGGGATGCTGGGGTGAGGCCAGCCTCCCAGGCCGTTTCCTTCCCCGCGGATGAGTATAGCTCTGTTGATGTCGTGTAGAGGTTGACTAGTGCCAGGTGGCGTTTAGGGGGATGCCCCGGCACCTGTTCCGTAAATTTGCTTTATTTTTGTTATCTGCCTTGACAAACATCTTTCCAAACTTGCGTGCTTGCAGCGTTTTCCGCCCTTGGGGTGGCTTGTAATCAAACAATTACCTTTCTGCACTTTTATTTTTGCACGCATATGACGTTATTGTCTCTTGATCCAACCTGTTTGTCCTGGCTTGACCTCCTTTTAAGCTTGACTGGAAATTCCCAGCCATGAGTTTTGAGGCCGGACTCCACCTTGTTTGATTGTCCGGGAGTCCATCCTTTATTCCTGTATCCATACGACTTGGAGCCTTGTTTTGACCTCAAGGTCTGACTTTGGTTGCCAAATAGATAAGTCTGTTTTCTTTCACATTGTCCTCGTAGTTTTAGCCCTGATTTCACGGTCACGGTCGCTTTGCTTGGGTTCTTAATTTCTGAACCGCGTCGGAGAGCTTTACCAATTTTAACCCTAAGTTCTTATTTTCTGAACCGAAGTAGGGTGGGTTCTTTACCTTAGGTCAATTAAGCCTTGTAATGAACCTCTTTAATTGGCGAGGCCTAGTGGCCTCTCCGGTGCAAAGTTAATTCCTTTAGTTCATCCTTAGCCTTTGTAAATCAGTCTTGGCCTTGAGAAAGGCTATATCTTTTCCTGTTTTGAGGAAATTTGATTTTGTTTATAAGGCTGTCTGATCTTGAAAAAGATCTTTCATTCCTACTCTCGTCTTTGGATAATCAGCCACGATTCTTGCCTATTTGTTTCTTTCCATTCACACAATTTTCCTATTTCTAACAATATCATCTTCTTTCTTTAACTACTTATTATTACGTACGTAGTGATAAAGTAGCTGAAAAGAAAAATACATAATGAAAAGAGAAATACACAATGAGATTAATGAAAAGTGAAATAATGAAAACCACAAGACATATTTAGTTTCTCAAAACGAAGAGAGAAGCTAGAGGTTCAAGAATGTCTCAAAGAGAAAAATGAATCTTATTTTAAGAGTAGTACTTGGTAGTATGTATTTATAGCAAAATGACACCCTAAATAAAATGGAGGTCTGGTGGCCCTAGGCACATGCATGGAACAAAAGGCAAGTACGTACTCCCTTCTATTTGAAGTAGCTCCACGCACTTCTATTTAATTAATCTCCCTGGCCTCCGATCCCCTTCTAATCTCCATATCTCATCTCATCTCATCTTTAATTAATCAACCATAGTCAGTTAGTCAATTGGCCGGCACGTACGATGTATTGGTTCTTATTCTTCCTACTAGCAGCAATGGGTGTTTCATCGCCACCATATAATAATGGTGTTTTCGAAATCTATGACCGCTACTCGAGCGAAGTCGTCGAGGTCTTAGGTAACGGTGGGTTGCCTAGGAAAGGAAGCTCAGATTACATCTCCTACTTGGCAGCCATGGACTCCAGGAGACGTCAATCTTCTCCAGCCATCACCTTTTCATCTGGAGATGCCACATCTCAGATACAAACGTTCTCACAGTCGTTCACTAATGAGTACGGAGTATGATATAATGCATGCAATGTGATTTTGACCTTAAATATCTGAAACTCTGAAAGTATATACTACGTATACAAATTTTGAATAACTAACGGTTACAGTATAAAATTTAACTTAAAAAAGTGTTTCTAGGAACTTAATTGGGGGAGGTGGGAATATATGTATATATGCAGAGTGAAACTAACTTGTACCGCTTTGCGTGAAATGTTACTAAGTACTATATTTAATTTGTGTAAATTTTATTTTCAAAATATTACACCCTTTTTAATCTTTTTACCTACTTAATTAAACGTGTTGATAGCCAAAGTTATACTCCCTATGTCCCGAAAAGGTTTGGCAAATTTCCTTTTTTGGATGTTACAAAAAGATTTGTCATTTCCATTTAAAACAAAGAATATGTGGCTAAAGTTAATTCTAACTCCTCTGCACAAATTTAACCACACAGTTTTTCTTCATTAATTCACGTGAAAGTCAAAGTTGGCGAACCTTTTCAGAACGGAGGAAGTATGTTGTCAAATGGTTGCATTGTAAATTTGTAACTAATAATAAAATATAAAGGTAGTCTGGTAGTATATATAAATAGAGAAATTAACCGTACGTACGTACGTGAGACCGATATACTTCCTACGTTCTCTTTTAATTGCAACAATCAACATTTCACGTTTGCCAACGCACAAGTTTGACCATTAATATCTTCATTCCTTATTTGTAAAAAAAAATAAAAAATTCATATTTTGAAAATTTAGAATGAGAATAATTTAACAATATTTTTTAAAAAATTAATTTATAATACATTAATAAATAAAATATAGTCAAAGTATAATATGTATTTAATTAATTTTTACTAACTTCAATTTGCAGTTATCATTTTGTAAAAGTTTATGTGGGAACGCCTCCAATGCCGTTCATGGTGGCATTAGACACTGGGAGCTCATTGTTTTGGCTCCCATGCAATTGCATCGTCTGTTCAGGCCACGCCACTTTTCCTTCAACACACCTGGTATAGTATATACTTCGTGTATACTCCGTATCATATACTAGTATATACGTGCTTTACCTAGCTACTCTTCTATTGGTATATATTACTCACTTCATCTGAAAAGATTCGTCAAATCAACTTTTCTTGATCGATAAAAATCAATTTGATTAATGACATTTTTCAATATGAAATTATTTTGAATATGAAAGTTATATCAAAATGTTAATGTTACTTATGTAAAATATTTTCACAAAAATATAAAATTTATAAATTTTTATACAAACACAGTAATTAAAATTATTGTTCAAAGTGTATTATTATTAATCTAGAAAAGTCAATACGTCCAATCTCTTCGGGAGGGAGGTAGTATTATGATAGCTTAATTGCAAACATAATTTCTCTTTTATCCTTTTTAATCAAAATTGTTCTTTTTGAACTTTGAATCTGCCACGTACAATCTCTCGGCCTAAATCAGACCATGAATTACCATCCGAATAATTCGTCCACATATACAAGTATTGGTTGTGATAGTGGAATATGTCGGCGGCAAAATTGTCCTTCAAATAAGGGATGCCCCTATGAGGTCCTATACTTGGATGGATCTTCGACTACAGGGGCGCTAGTATCCGACGTCATACACCTTGCAACTTATGATAAGCAACCTACATATTTTGGAGCAAATGTTACATTCGGGTACGTACCTATATATACCTACATAAGAAGTACTGTATATTATTCTACGTCCTTCAAAAAAGAGTATACCACATACTTCGTACATAGTACTCCGTATATTTTATGCTCGTAAATGCATGCATAATTCTTGTTAACGTTGGTCATTCGTTAATACTAACCCTCCAGTGGCCTCCACGTCCTTATTACAGTGTGGAGCCAGAAATCTATGGTTAAGGGGGCCAATCCTTAAAGTTTTTATATTGCAGGGGCCAAAGTTTAAAATATCAACATATTTTCAATAAATTAAAAGTATTTCTACATAATATATACTTAAGAATTTTTTTCTTGCAGGGGCCGAGGCCCCCTCCAGCCCCTCCCTGTCTCCACCCCTGCCTTATTATATGTGACATTCTAATAATAATAATAATAATAATAATAATAATAATAATAATAATAAGAATAAGATTAATAATAATAACAGTAGTAGTAATAATAACAATAACAATAACAATAACAATAATAATGAATAATAATAACGTGTGGAGCATATCATATACGAAGTACTAGATATTATATATATATGTGTACAATAATAACAATAATAATAATAATAATACGAAGTACTCTCTCATTACTTAAATCTTTGTTAATTTTACTTTCTAGTAGTCTCAATAATTTTGTCAATTTTCTTTTTAAGTGAAAAATTTATTGTTGTAGTTAATTTTCTCTACTCTGGACAAATTGCAATAAAAAAATTACTTTATTAATTCTCGTGATAGTCAAATTCGACCAAATTTTAAGATACGGAGGGATTATGTCCTATATAATGACAGATGTACACTAGCACAATCATGGAGGGATGCAAATGGGACTTGCCCGGGGTAGAGATTTTTTAAGAAAGAGTTAACTAACATTTAGAAATGTTTTTAATTTGGGGTGGGCAGGGGCCTAAGGATGTTTTTACTTGGACTGTAATTTGCTGATCTGGTTTCTTTGTGTTTTTTTAACTATCCATGTCTGGTCTGATCTGGTCTTGTCTGGTCAGGGACAAATTACAATCCAAGTAAAAACATCCTAATATCCCGTATAGTATCCGCCTTCCTGCTCCTCCTATGACCTCTTAGTAGAGTCATATTATGCAAGGTCGTTCATGTGAACATTCACAAAAATAAAAAAATGGAAATATCGGAGTATATGTTTAGAATTAATGTAAGAAGTCATTTAACTATATTTCAAAATTGTTATTTTTAGCTCCACTTATTATTTCGTTGTTTCTAATTGAAAAGCATGTAGTTTTTTTTTGCATAAATTAAACATAACAATATTGAAAACTTAAAATGTAAATGTTAAATACAATTTGTTCAATTTTTTTTTTGTAAAGTAATTTTGAAAATTCAGAATCTAAATGCTAAATCTGCATGCTACTTTCCCTACTCCCTAGTCTATTCACACCCACTGACCCTATCTCCCACATATTGCTCCAACGTTAATGGGGTGGGGGGTGGGGGGTGGGGGGGTGTGGGGGTGGGGGGTGTGGGGGGGTGGGGTGGGGGGATTTGTACATATGCATTTGCGGGAACTTCAAGCCTAACTTGGATAGTGGAGTGTTGGGCCTGAATGTGTTGATGTCTACTTCGTTACTATACATATATGTGTACCTCATATATGACAATGTTCCCTCCGTTTCATAGATTTGTCTTTTTTGACATTTTTGGAAAACGTACGTACTGAACTAATTTTAATGATGTACATGTAGGGGTGGACTCGGGCCGGGCCAACCGGCCCGGAACCGGACCGGCCCGGTCAACCGGTTGGTGCACCGGTTCGGGCCACCCGGCCCGGTGGGATGGCGGTCCGGGCTCGGGCCCTGATTTTGGTGAACCGGCCCGGCCGGTTCGGGCCCGGTCCGGGCCCGGTCCGGGCCGGATTTTGATTTTTTTTTTTTTGAATTTTTTTTAAGTTTTGGGTTGGATTAGGTATTTTGGGCCATTTGAGGTGGTTTGGGGTGGTTTGGGGTTGAGGGGGAGGGGTAGGGGGTTAAAAAGGAGAACCAAAAAAAAAAAAAAAAAAAAAATAGACCGGTTGGCCCGGCCCGGCCCGGCCCGGTTTGGCCCGGAACCGGAACCGCCCACCGGCGGTTCGGGCCCGGGCCCTAGTTTTCTGGCCCGAGGCCCGGCCGGGCCCAGGCCCGAACCGGGCCCGAACCGGCCCGAGTCCACCCATATGTACATGGTTAACATATCTAAGTGATCAATTTTTTTTAATGTTGTTCTGTAATGAGAATAATTTAAACAAATCAATTTCAAATCACCTTCATACCATGATTTTTATGTTAAATACGAAGTATAGCATTGGCATATTTTAACAAGTTCAACAAAAAAATTAAATTTGCAAGAAATTTTCATTACAGTGGTAATAAAAAAAGCTCTAGAGTGTAGAGTGTATAAAAAGAAGAATTTGTGTCTGGTCTAATTGATGTCTAGTCTATGTATATATTTTATAACTATAAAATTCTGATCTACTTTAGTCTGATCTATTTAAGTCGGATTTCGCATGCATGCTCTAATATATTCAATTAAGTCTGTTATGATTAGTTCTGGTTTGGTTTGATCTGGTCTAATACTGAACATAGTGCAAGTAAAAACATCTTTAAAGGTTTACACTACTACAGGAATGATATATAACGTCGGTTAATTGTTAAATTTCACGTCGGTTTTTAAAGGGTCGTGCATGTAAGTGACGATGTAGGTAGGAACCTATCACGTCGGTTATTGAACCGACGTCATAAATAAGTTACAACGGCGGTTTTTGTTTATAACCGACGTGAATTGTTTTACATTTCCGTTATTTATTTTATTAAGCACGTCGGTTCTTATGCATAACCGACGTCAATTGTTCATAATTTCCGTTTTTTTAATTACTTATAACGACTGTTCAATTTAATAACCGACGTAATAGGTTATCTTTGTTTTTTTACCATTTCCATTACTACACCCTGTACACATAAATAATACCAAGCATTCCACACAATCTGCCCTGCGTTGCCTTCCCATTTTTAAACCATCCACAACATTTCAACAAAACCAATTGAAATACATTCAAGTCACTAAACCAAAACGTCAAATACAATTGTTCAATAATTCAATATATGTTCTATATATCAAGAGGAATTACATAGGATAATACTCAGAACTATAGGCAAAATAACAAAATAAAATAACATACCAAAAAGTTAAAATCCTAATTTTGGCATGCTAAAAAAACCTGCTCATGCATGTTTGTAGATGAAATTTATGAACAAACAAAAGCTAAAGATCGGCTAGGAGGTGAGATATTTTTGCAGGTAAAAACAATGTCGAGTGACAGCATCGTTGAATGATAATCCATATAGTAACTATTGTTCGCTTACCCAAATCAAGTATAATATTTTTCCCTCAAGCTTAAGAATATACACAATTTTTCAATTTTTTCAATTAAATTAAACCATATTAAGAGAGGAAGAATACCGCAGATGAAGAAATTGCAGGAACCGGAGCAGCTAGAAGAAAAGCAATTTTCCTAAATATCCCAACCAAAAAGACAACATTTAATTAAAAGAGGAAGATTTCATATTCATCAATCATCATTGAGCAGAGTAAAGAGGCTTACTCGTTCAAGTCCAGGATGCGTGTGCTGGAACTGGAGCAGCTAGATGGAAAGTGCTCATCGACGGAAAAGTATTCGCAGACGAGAACGGTTTGCGCAGAGCAGTTTCACAGAGTTCGAGTAGCGCAGGTGATTAGGGTTGAGGCAAGGGTTTTGCCGTATAGGGCTTTTTTCACACTTGGATTCCGTATTAAGTGTTAAACGGGTTCTTTTCTTAAAAACTCCCACCAGCGCGCGGCAAGAAGACTACGGTGGTTTTATTTAGAACGGACGTTAATAGCAAATTTAAAAAATAAACGGGGCACCTGTTACGATGGTTATTACAAAAGCCGACGCTGAAAAAGAAAATTAAATTTTCCGGAATATTCTACAACGTCAATATTTAACTACAACGGACGTGATTGACTCCCTAAGACCCTTATGAGGACTGTTTTTAAAGAACCGACGTGAAAGGTGGGACGTGGTATGTCGTTCTTGTAGTAGTGTTAGTTCTAAGAGTAGTTAAAACTTGTTATTTCAGCAGAAAACACATTTGATTTTGAGAAGAAACACCAATTATGCATGCATCTACATGAAAATGTGTTGAGTTTTTGTCGCGCCTTATTTAGTTGCCCTAATTTTTCAATGTTGTACTCCGTAGTATTGATTAATTTTACTATGCCTTTTGATGATAGATTAAATTCCAAGATCAGCATCATATAATTATACATAAACATATACAGATAGATCTGAGTTTTAGGAATACCTGGATCCATGATAGATGAATGAACTGGAATAAATCCCTTATCCTCTCTGGCCTCTTTCCTTATGAGATTCTTGACAGGTACGTAGAGATCTCTCGCTAATATTGTGTTGTTATTCCATAGGGAATAAGCGTATATATAGAGGCAGAGGAGAGGGTTGGGGAAGCCTAGTCCTAGACAGACTTAAACATAGGTTCAGCCTATCATTAAACCAATTAAATGTCTAGGACTATACAAACTCTATTAATAACATATAACCCCAAATACATGACCAATATTAGAATACTAATAATTAAATAGATATTTTAACATTCTCCCACTTGGTCATGTGATCCTTGATGAATTGATGAAAACTTAAATTGCGCAGTATTCATCAAACCAAACTCACCAAGAAAACTTAACTGAATTTCAAATTGAATGGATCATGGCGGTTACACATCATTTATACTGACATGCTTCCTTCCATGTATCACAAGACAATTCTAATTCATCCGAAACATTTGAGAAATCTGAAAGTCTCAAATCTTAAATTTGAGGGATGCTTAAATCCTCAACACTTGTTATCACTATAAATAATTATATGTGATCACTATTAAATAGACAACAAGTAAACCAGAAACATAACCTTTATTG